GGGGGGGGGGGAGTTAAGCAGGGAGAGAAGCACAAAACAGACCCTACATATATATACACAAATGTAAAATTAAACAGAATAAGGGGCTTGAGATTTAGCACAGTGGTAGGGTATTTGCCTAACACACTCTACCAAAAGGCCCCGGGGTTCAAGTCTTCCCCGCCAAAAGCCTGGAATAAGAATGTAAGCAAAGAAGTACTGTCTTCCTGAATGCTTCTGTACTGTTTATCATATTCATGCATTACTTAAATAACACAATTTAAGAGTATGTTTTAAGCCATAAGAAAATAACTATAATATATAATAAAGTAGAGCAGCATCCCAACAATAGTTAGGTCTTAAATGTGTAGCCAAAACACAAAAGCCAAGCTCTGACAAAATGACTCAGAAATTCCTGAATGCCATTGAGTTCACTAGTGTGAACTGCCTCTGAGAAAGTACAATACATAAAATTACATAGTCTGTTTTTTTGTATTTAGGGATGTTGTACCAAACATGTTGTGATTTTACACTCTAGAGCCATAGTTAGTGAGATGCTTATACTGGTCTGTCTGGCTGACTCTGTCTCCCTTATACACACGCCTTAAGGCATATACAATCAATCAAGTTAGTTAAATGTATGTATCAAGAGGCACCAACAATATAACGGGCCTTACTTCATTACTAACACTGTGGAAGAGCAACCCCACTGTGGAGCACTATACATCAGGGTGCTTCATTACCCAGGATCTCACTGTTTCTGTTGTATTTTTACAATCCTAGAGGTTGAACACATGGCCTTGTGCATACTACAGAAGCACTCTACCACTGACCTACCTCCCCAGCCCTGAGGGTAAAAAATGTTACTACAAGCTGGGTGTGGTGGCACAAACATGTACTCCCAGAAGAATTACAAGTTCAACGCCACTTTGATTTCATAGAGAGTTCAAAGCCAGCCTGGCCTACATAGTGAGACCCTGTTTCTCACAAGGCTTTAATCACTCAGAGGCAGAGACAGGTGGATCTCTGTAAGTTAAAAGCCAGCCTAAATTTCAGGCCAGCCAGGGCTATATAGTGAGACCCTCTCTCCAGAAGAAAAATTCTTTCTGCCATGGAAATGAATCATCCGACCAGCTTGGTTTTAGCACTTTTTAAGCTGCCCTTAGTTCTCACTGCTCTGTGATCAAACCGAAGCTCATCTTTTCAAAGTAGGTGGAATCAATGAATAAGAAACTAACACCACCACACTGAGGGCAGAGGAGCACTAAACTAACATGTGCCAGTCCCTGAGGTTTGATTCTTAAGAAACAGAAACATGCATGCATGCACACACACATGCGCACACACACATGCAGATGGAAGGGGCTGGGGAGAAACAGAAGAAATAACACTTTCCCCTGAATCCTCCTTACTTTCAATATAACATACATGCCTGATGCACCAGATTGGGCAAAGTAAGTAGGCATACATAGGGACCAATATTCCTACACAGAACCCATTCTCAAGAGCTACCCAAACAGAGTTTACTCTGTAAAACCAAGTTAACAGGAATTATGTAAATATCAAGTGGAAAGTTTTCTAAAAATGATTGCCTCATTTCCCACCCACAGCTGAGGAAAAATAAAAGATCAATAATGCCCTGTGGTGGCAAGGAGTGCAGGAAAAGGAGTGTTACAGACAAGAATTTAAATTGCTACAATTCCTCTAAGGCTCAGCTTGGCAATATAACCCAAAATCCTTAAAACAAGACAAAACCAAAAAAAAGTACAATTCCTTTGTCCCAGCAGTTACATTTCCAGAAAGTTAACCCTGTACAAATCAATAGGCATCTATGACTACTTGTAACTTTTTTGTTGTTTTGTGGTACTGAAGGTTGAACTCAGGCATTGAGCGTGCTAAGCATGTAGTCTACCCACCCAAAGCTCCATCTGTCTGCCTTCCAAGTTCTTCCATGTACCATCATGCCTGGTGAAAATACAAGTTAAGGAGGTAATGTTACATTATTTTTTCATATTATACTTATTGGAAACATGTACATATATTCACCTATAGGGTTGGAAGAGGGCATCAGATCCTCTGGAACTAGAACTACAGATGGTTGTGGGCCACCATACAGGTGCTAGGAACAGAACCCAGATCCTCTGCAAAAGCATCAAGTGTTCTTAACATCTCAGCCATCTCTTCAGCCCCTAACATTTTATTTATTTGTTTATTTTGAGGGCAAACAGCATGGACAGCGGCCCCAGGATGGGGGAACCACTACCCACAACTATGTACTCAGCAGCTGCCTTGGGGGGTGCCACCACTGCAGCCCAGGGAACAGTCAGAAGTGGGCCATCAACTTTCCAATGGTAGGCAATGTAGCAGAAAAGCGGCTTACCCACTGACCAGTCACAGAGCTCCATGGTCTCTGACATCTCTTCTGCCAATGTTACCACAAATCAAACCCTGAAAATCCAGGTTTATGACACAGCTAGACAGAAAATTTGTAACAGATCACAGCTCTAGCTCCTATCTACAAAAAGTTACAGTCCAATTTTTCTTGTTCCCAGTGAATCTTGCATCACTTGAAAATGTCCATTCAGGCTGAGCACTGAGGCATGTGCCTTTAATCCCAATACTCAGGCAGACGCAGGTAGATCTCTGAGCTTGAGGCCTGCCTGGTGTGTAGAGCAAGGTCCAGGACAGCCAGAGCCACACAGAGAAACCCCGTCTCAGAAGAAAAAAAAAACATCTATGCAAAGCGGTATTCAGAAGTGTCAACATCACTCTCCTAAAAACCCCTACCATTCGGAATAGAGCTTGGTCTGAGAGTAAGAAAGACACAAGAAATTGAGGCAGAACCTGACCCCTGTAACCTAACCTAACCAGCCTTAAGAGAAGACAGGTACTGTAAAATATCTGGAGCGTTCCACTCTCACAAACCAAAGCCTCAAAAG